ATATATATTTTAATATCCAAAAATACATTGTATACATATCTATATGCACTAGCAAACAGCCTGTTCTTATAGGGGATTTTTGAAAATAATTTTACGAAATGTCCTGTGGGTATTGCAACCAGATTACCTACAAATATCCCAAAAAACACTACATTTGCTTGACTTCTTGATCTTGGATTGTTAAATTAAGGTATCAGTGCTTCTTTTTAAAGTTACGAGCGGTTTGTAAATGGTCATAACTTCAGATCATTGTTTCGAAAGCTCATACAGATAGACCGCTCACCCCTCTGCATCAGGACTTTGCCTGCGATGGACTGAGCGGTGCTGTTCAAGTCTTAGGGCTGAACTGACTTTAGGAAGATCATGACTACTTCTCTTACAAAGTAGAGGGCTTTTTGGGGAGGGGCATCCTGTGACTATCATGCTTTCAGTCTTCAGGCAACCATATAGGTCTGCCACAAAACATATATTTTTATTTTATTTGTTTCACTTATACGATGCCTTTCTCCACAATGGGGACCCAAAGCAGCCTCCATTGCCCTCGTCTCCTGCATTTAATCCTCACAACAACCCTGTGAGGTAGGTCAGGCTGAGAGCGTGTGACTGTCCCAAGGTCACCCAGCAAGTTGCCATGGAAGAGGGGAGACTCCAAACCCAGGTCTGCCAGACCTTAGTCTGACATTGTAACCACCACACTACACTGGATCTCCTGGCTCTGTCTTGCAGAGGATTCTCTGACATATTCTAAGGAACGCTTGTTCACGTGGAGCGCTCGTTGAGCCTTCACTAGCCCTGTGTAGATGACCCATCCATGTGTTCACTCGCCACATGGGGAGGAAGAGTGGGCACAAGACCATTGGAACCATCCTTCACCTCCACTGATTACTGGGTAGTCTGTATGAGGTGAATGTGTAGAGGAAGTGCCCACACACACGCCCTTTCACCATAAGAAGCGATGCTGGTTTGGAAATGTTGCTGATCATAGGGAGGTGTGGGCACTTTCTATGAGCATTCACCCCGCCTCACATGATGCTGCCTTCTACTGGATCAGATGGATCTTTGGTCCATCAATTTTCTACTGACTGGCTGTGGCTCTCCACGGTCTTAGGAAGAGATCTTCCACATCACCTACTACCTACTACCATATGGAGCAGAGGTCCATCAGTGGCTATTAGCCACAAGGTATAGATAGGGGCTCTGGGGCAAGTGATGCTCTGTCATCTTGGTGCTTGGGGGGGGTCAACAGTGGGAGGGCTTCTAATGTCCTGGCCCCACTGGTGGACCTCCTGATGGCACTGGTATTTCTGGCCACTGTGTGATACAGAGTGTTGGACTGGATGGGCCTTTGGCCTGATCCAACATTGGCATCTCTTATGTTCTTATGTTCTAATCCATTTTAACTGGAGATGCCAGGGATTGAACCTGGGACCTTCTGCATGCCAAGCAGGTGCTCTGCCGCTGAGCCATGGCCTCTCCCCAAACGTTATGTTTTCAATTATGTCAATAGACTTGCTTATACAGGCTCTGTCGATCTCTTGCTCTGAATGTTGACATACTTTGGCCCTTTGATTCTAAAAGGTTGCCAACTTATAACTAGTAGCTTAAAAATAGATGGGTCCTTTTTTCCATGTGTAATCTTTTCATGGTGAATTCATCAGTGGTTTGTACATGCCCCTCCCCTGATCACCTTGGCAACTGTGTGCAGGGGGTGGGGCCAGCATGCTCAGGTCTGCTCTACAACCCCATGTGATGAGAGTCCTGGCCCATGGGATGAGTGAGACAGTGTGGTGTAGTGGTTAAGAGTGGCGGACTCTTAACCCGGGGTGACTGGGTTTGATTCCCCACTCCTCCTTCACAGGAAGCCTTCTGGGTGACCTTGGACCAGTCACAGTTCTCTCAGAACTCTCTCAGCCCCCACCTACTTCACAAGGTGCCTGTTGTAGGAAGAGGAAGAGAAGGCAACTGTAAGCCGCTGCGAGACTCCTTAAGGGAGAGAAGAGTGGGGTATAAAAACCTACTCTTCCTCTGCTGTTGCTCTGCCACCCCATGTGATGAGTGAACACACAGATGGGTCATCTGCGTAACGCTGTCATTGCTCTGAGCATGTGCAAAACCATCTCCCATGGCTGTGGATTTTAAGGGGTGTTCAGTCACAATGGATAGGTCATTTTTCTGATTCCCCCCGCCAACCATCTCCTGCTCCACTTCTGGAACTACTGATTGAATTAAACCCATCGCTGATTAATTTGAAGGAGTTCAGAACTGAGCAAAGGCTAGTTTGCAAACTACAGACGCTTCTTTCTGATGACAAACATTTGTGGTTTCGCCCTAGTGTTTTGGAACAAATGTCCGACAAAAAACAACAACAATAACAACTGTGCATTTGGACTGCAACCAGAATGGCTGGAAGAGGTTTCCATTTTAAGGCAATTGCAGCCCGCTAATTGTTTGTTTTCCTATCAAATTGGCGGCATGAGCCTTGGAGTCACGGGGTTGGATCCAAACACTGGGAATGTCTCTAAAGAAGTCCTTCCACACATGGAAGAATTTCCATGACAGGAAGGGCCCCATCCATGAGAAGAAAGAGACCTTTGGATCCAATTCACTTTGGTCAGTAGAGTTTTAATGTCTGCAGAAAGAAAACACAGGTTCCTTTGTATCAAGACCCAACTCCAGTTAGTCATAACTGGGGTGGAGTCGTTTGGTTGGGGTTTTTTGCACATGCTTTAGGGAACAGAAATGAACCAAGAACAAAGAGGAACCAAAATGTGTTTCATAGTGCAATCCAAAGCATTAGCCTTAGACAGGGGTCGTTTCATAGAAAAAGAGCTAGAGGAACTCATTAGCATAACTTATTAGCATATGCCACACCCCCTGACATCACCGGAAGTATGTCATAAGGCCACACCCCCCGCCCCCAACGGTCCCGGCCGCCGCCGGCCTTGCAGCTCCACTGCCGAGCCCCATGAGGGGCCCGGCGGTGGACCTGCAAGGCCGGTGGGAGTGCAAGGAAGCCCCGCGAAGGCCCTCCCTGGCCCCAGGCAGGCAGGGGTGGGGAGAGGCAGGGAGGAAGCAACTTACCCTCCCTCTTCTCCTGCCTCCTCCTGGCTGAATGAGGGCCGGAAGCGGGGCGGCCGGAAGCGGGGGGCGGGGCTTCGTCATGTGCCCCGCCCCCCGTACCTCACCCGGGGGAACTGCGATCCCCCCCGAAATGACCTCTGGCCTTAGAAGGGTACAACTCTGCTTTGGATCGTACTGCTGATCACCTAGAGAATTTTAGGGCATATTTATGATACAAACTTAAAACTGGTTTAATAGTGAATCCCTTTCCCTGCACACTGTAATTTGGTGAGTAGAGCAGGAGACTCTAATAGAGGCCTCGCACCAGCCTCATCAGTTTACAGTTCTTGGTGGGGAAACGATGACAGTTTAAGTCCGGGGTCCCCCCTTTGAGTATGTGGGCACCTTTGGAATTCTCTACACAGGGCGGAGCATGCAGACAACACATGGCTGCCTCAGGAGGCGGGGCCACAAACACAGAAAAGTCCAAGTGCAAAGGGGAAGGGGGTAGTTTAAAAGATACACTGGGAAAGAGGAGTGAGAGAGGATAAAACCAACCATGTGGTGGCAGCTGTTATTATTTTATAATGTTAGTTTAATCTGCCAAGGCCAATGGGATCTCCAGTGGCCAACCAGAAACACTACCTGGCCCCACCCCACCACGTTCAGGATCCCTGTTTTAAGCTGCCATACATTTGTAGTGTATCAACATCTTTCACTTTAGAACAGATGCATCGTTCCTTTTAGAACCAAGGCCCTTTTATTTTTCCACCAAGGCATTGCATACATTTTTCCTTTTTAAAAAACTTTATTTTCTTAGCAAAAAAAAAAAAAATTACAAAGCTGAAACCCAAATGTACAGATAGAAAAGATGTACAAGTTAAATTTTTAAAAAACCAACAACGGATCTGATAGTAAAAAAAACAACAACCCAAAAAACCCAAACAACTTGCATTTGTGACCGAGGTCAACTCGTTTCATTTTTAAAATCTTTTTCTTAACACTGTGAGATATTAGGTAAAAACATAACTCTGCATAATTTATACAGTAAATTGCCTTCTGGTTCGGTTGACCCTCTGAGTGGCTGTCTGACAAACGCACAGCGTTCGTGAATCGGTTGTGTTTTTGCGACTCCCGGCACTGAAGCCAAGCACTGGGAGCAGCTGTCATTTATCCGAGCCCCATTTTGCATTCAGAAGAATATCTGCCCTCGATGCATTGTGATTCCCCACCCTGCCTTGGTCTTTGAGGTTCCTGGAGTTTAAAACACACACACACACACACACAACATAACACAATGCTCTTGACAAGTCCCTTCAATGCCCTTGATAGTCTTAAAATATACATATTTATTTATATGAATATATATATATATATATATTTATATGTATTTCTTTCTTTTTTTCCAGTTGGGTAAAAAGATGAGCCTTCATCGGCTTCAATGCTTTGCTTCCAGTTGGATCCACCAAACCAGGTCCTCTCCAGGCAATATTTGGATTTTCCTTCTACTTCCCCCAAACTGGAAAAATATTTGCCATTTTGTCTGGGGTGAACAAAACATTCGTCTCCTAAGAACCATGGGTCTTCTTTTCCTCTTGACTTTGACTGTGCTTTCCATCATTTGTTAAGAGCTGGAGTGATGATCACCACCACAGATCCATAAAGCACTCAACTTGGTCCAATAGAGGCTATAACACTTGGAACCAAAATAGAATATATATATATATAATTATATATAATACTGGCCCATCGGAAAATCCATCTGCCTGTCCGTGACTGAAGAAGCAGAGTTACAAAAATAAAAAAAGGTTTACTCCAATAATAATAATAATAAAAATAATATCCAGTTTTTCAGGTTTCTCCCCGACAAAAAGATGGAGGTCCACCAAAAAGTCCATAGATATATCCAAGAACATCCCATTGGACTGAGAAAGGCCACAGAAGGTGAAAAGCATCTAGTAGTAGCTGCCTAAGTGTGATGGCATATGGGAGTTTGGATGACGCGGTACGTTCGGATTGGGGTATATGCTTCCCGTGGGGGAAGTCCAATACGGTGACGCAGCTCCAAAGAAACTGGAGGAAGTGACGGGCATAGAGGAAGGATGTGGAGGCACAAAGTTCACTTTCTGCTGGTGCGCATGATACGAAGGCATATAGGGCAGATCCGACGGATACTTGTACATTGACGACTCAGTTGGGTGAGGCTGAAGAGCTTGAGCAATGCCGTGAAAGTCAAACTTATAGGCGTACCTCTTGCCATGTACTTTGGTCATGATGTTCTTGTCATAGTAGTATCGGAGGGCTCGGCTCAGCTTGTCATAATTCATGTTGGGCTTGCTCTTGCGTTCTCCCCAACGCCTGGCCACCTCGTCGGGGTCCGTCATCTTGAATTCCCCATTAGTTCCTTCCCATGTGATGCAGCTGGCATTGGAGCTATCTGACAGTAACTCCAGTAGAAACTGCCATAGCTGGATCTGTCCGCTCCCTGCAAGAGGACACAGAGAAAAGACAGTGATGTTCTGGGTAGTTTTGCTACGTTATCTGAGGGCAAGGAAATGCTACTGAAAATCATCTCCATTCACAAACCAGCTGCTGGGTTCATGGCATGAAAGTATCTTTTCCTTCAGAATGGGGGATGTGGTGACTTAGTATTGTACTTATGCAGTTACTTGATAAACAGGCTTATTATACCCCACAAAATTCAATGTGCGGATTCCCAAGGCAGCTTCAACTGCATCAACAAAAACACCAACAGAATGCCAAAGGGGCAGATAAGCCAGCAACAAATACATGATAGCAGCAACTGTAAACCATGGATCACTAAAATGATCTCAGGATATTCATAAACTACAGTACCATCTTAAGCATGGCTGCAGTCACAGACACTAAATAATTCACTTTCAATCCACTTTCAGTCCACTTTCAATGTACTTTCCAACTGGATTTTGCCAGTTCACACAGTGAAATCCAGTTGGAAGTGCACTGAAAGTGGATTGAAAGTGAATTATTTAGTGTCTGTGACTGCAGTCCAGGTCTACTTAAAATCCTACCTGGGTCTATTCACTGGAGCTCACTTCCAGGAATGTGCTCTTAGGCTGCTTTCACACATGTTGGAGAATGTACTTTCAATGCACTTTAGTAATAATTTGCAACCAGATTTTCCTGTTTCACTTGCAAATCATCACTAAAGTGCATTGAAAGTGCATTATACAACGTGTGTGAAAGCAGCTTTAGGACTGCTCTGGTAATCACTTAAAATCCTCACCTGGTAGGCCCAGGCTAATCTGATCTTGTCAGATCTTGGAAAGCTAGCAAAGAATAACAAAAAACAACAGTGAGCTGAATTTCCCGCAAAATATTCACAAAGGAGACTTCATCAAAGTGAAATGCATCTATGGTCTGGAATAAATCTATCCATATAATCCATCATAGGAAAATGCAGAAGCCAAAGAATAAATATACAAGATAAATATCCAAAAAGTCCAACACTTTTCCTATGTAATTTTCCCAGTGTTTCAGGCTTCTGGCCCTTCCTCAGGAACAAAGAACGACTACGGAGAGTCTCATTCCATCTCCTTTTAAGATAATGCTTTTGTATTACTCATTGGGCCAAGTCTCCTTAGCTCTAATCTGCACCCCTAAAGGCTGCTTCAATGTATCAGGACCAAAACATGCCTCCCTGATCCATTGAAGCAGCCTTTAGGGGTGCAGATTAGAGCTAAGGAGACTCGGGGAGGCGAGCGGGTGGAGCCACTCCGACTGCAGCTTCAGCACAGCAGAACAGCCCCCTCTGCAGCAGACAAGCAGCGTGGGAGCATCTGCCCAGTGCTGCACTGCAGGTTCTCCAGTCCACCCATGTGGTTTCTCTTTACACCCCCTCCCAGCCCATGGGGCCTTGCAGAGAGGATACATGATGTGGATCTTACAAGTTTCTGTTCTTTATACAGTTTATATCTCCGAAACCTGGCATTACGTTTTATGACACACATGGCCCAGCCCGACAAAGTGACATTTATGTCAGATCTGGCCCCCATAACAAATGAGTTCAACACCTCTGCCTTAGAATTTACTTTCCAAAATTGCTGGACGTTCTGGACATGGAATTCCCAGAGTCTATCTGGTTTGGCCCTGAAGCTTTGGAGACTCCCCCCTGCAGTTACAGAGATTGTAACATTGCCCTCAACGGTTGTTCTAAGGACTAAAACAAAATACTGTATGTGAAGGGCTTTGAACACCTCAAAAGCACTAAATAAAAGCTTAGCAATTACAGTAAGGTCCTTAAAGCACATCAGATGAGGTGGGATGTAAATTTACAGACCAAGGACAGATTGATCTCGTGAGTTCAAGTAGGTTTCAACTAACAGGTGTGCCCCCTGTACAAGACTCTGCATTCAGAATATAACATACGATAATCATATTTTTATTTCATTGAACAAAGAAACAGCGATAACTCCAGACAATAAAGAATGATAAAGTATCACAAAATGATGTATAGATGGTACATGACACCTAAGAAAATAGCAAATATGAACCAGAATATGTCTAGCAAATGTTGGAAATGTAAAAAACATGAGGGCTCATTTTATCACATGTGGTGGACATGTGATAAAGCTAGGGACTTTTGGACAAAAGTCCACAGTGAAATGCAAAAGATTCTAAAATGTTCTTTTAAGAAAACTCCTGAAATTCTGCTCTTAGGTTTAAAAATGGAAGAACTAAATGTAACAAAAAAGACACTATTCTGGTATTTGATAACAACGGCAAGAATGATATACGCTCAATATTGGAAGCAAGAAAAAATACCAGATCTGGAAGAATGGATACAAAAAGTTCTGTTCATGGCAGAGATGGACAAAATAACCAAAAAGTTGAACAACAAAGAGGACCAAGAATTTTTTGAAGAATGGAAGGACTTTAAGACATATTTAGAAAAGAACTGGGACGTGAAACAAAATTTACTATGTTTAGAACAATATTAAGTACTTGATATTATCCTGAGTTTATCTATGTGGGACATGAGGGAGGTGCATTGCGGGAAGCCTTTCGGGGGAGGGAGGGAAAAGGGAATATTCAACCAATTGATAACATACGATAATCATATTTTTATTTCATTGAACAAAGAAACAGCTATAACTCCAGACAATAAAGAATAATAAAGTATCAATCTAACAGCTTAAAGAGACGTGATGGAGATCATGTATCTCCATCCATATACAAAATGGAAATGACAGCCTCAGTTTGCCTCAGGGTCATGCAGGGAAGAGAAAAGGGGCTTTTGCTAATCAAAACCAGGCTCCTCACTTAGTGATTCATATTTCAAAGGGGAAAAGATGTCTTTTTAAAGGACACATCTTTCCCCCACCTAAATGCTTATGACAGAGTGGGGGAGCCAATTCTGGTTACAGTATTGAATCCAAACAGAAGCTGAAGGGTTAAACCCCGGCCCGGGAGGTGTGTTGTAAGTGTATTTTAAGGGGGGCAGTATGTCAGCAAGCTGCCATTCTGTTTTCTGTGACCTCTGTGTACATAT